GCCCCGGGCAGCGACTGCGGGGCGGTGGCCCCTTCCCTCCCCTCCCCTGCCCGTGCAGCCCTGGGCCAGGCAGCCGGGGGCTGCGGCATCACCTGTGACCGTGCCGGCGTGGGGCCGGGGTCTCTGCAGCTCGGCCCTCAACTGCGTGCTGCCCATCGATAACCACGTCTTTGCCACGGGCGACGACAGCGGGGCCCTGAAGGTGTGGGACCTGCGCAAGGGGGACACCATCCTGGAGGCCCGTCAGCAGGAGGAGTACATCAGCGCCATGGCCGCGGACGCTAACGGGAAGATCCTGCTGACCGCCAGGTAGCGGGGTCTCTGTGACGGTGGGGCCAGGGTCCCCTGTGCCCACGCAGGGCTGGCCTGTAGGGCTGGGGGAAGGGTTCTGTGCCGCCTCCTGTGCTCCTGACGTGCTCCTTGCATCTCCCACAGCGGTGACGGCACCCTGGGCGTCTTCAACATGAAGAGGCGGCGCTTTGAGCTACTCTCGGAGCCGCAGAACGGGGACCTGACCTCCGTTGTGCTGCTGAAGGTTGGTGCCGGGCCCTGCTGCGGAGCAGGGTCCTGCGGATCCCTCTCCCTGCCCCGGGTTTCTTGTTCTGCCTCACCCTTGCTGTTCCCCATCTTGCCCAGAAGGGGAAGAAGGTGGCGTGTGGCTCCAGCGAAGGCACCATCTACCTCTTCAACTGGGACGGCTTCGGGGCCACCAGTGACCGCTTTGCTCTGAGGGCCGAGTCCGTTGACTGCATGGTTCCCATCACGGAGAGCATCGTATGCATGGGGTCCCTGGACGGAGTCATCAGGTTGGGAGCGTGGGATGGGGAAGGTGCGGGACAAGATCCGTTAGGAGCCAGGGCAGGGGGGGCACCCCAAGCCCGTGCTGCTGCGGGCAGGTGGGCTTGCGGTGGGCTAGGGCTCTGCCTCCCGGCAGCGTCCTCAGTGGCCCTGCCGTCCCCAGGGCGGTGAACGTGCTGCCGAACCGGGTGCTGGGCTGCGTTGGGCAGCACCCGGGGGAGCCCATCGAGCAGCTGGCGCTGGGGCCGGGCGGGG